TCCCAAAATCTCCCAATTTATTCAACAGAAACTTCAAAAGTGTGTTTGCACAAAAGAGAGAAGTTCTAGTACTTTGGGGTCTGAATTCAGGTGTATGCTACGAATGGTTGACATTTAAAATATGTAAAACTAGTCAAATCTGCTTGCTTAAGAAGAATATTTAAAATCGTCTAATTCAACTTAAATCGAGCTCGGCGAACCATAGTAAAATCCACAGAATATTCTATTTTAATAAAAATTACATCATATTATGACAAATCATAAGACTAGATAAATGTAAACATAACTAACAAAGTTGAGTATAGTTACGCCCGTAGTTATTTTAGTTGAAATTTGATTTGGCCGGGGAATTATTATTACCGATGCAAAAGCTTCATTTCATTTGTGTAGTAAGGACAGAAAGCCCAACGGATTAGGATTAGGGCTATTATTATAGCAGAAATAATAACTAACTTAGACTGTAATTCGACATTTGTAAGTCCAACAAAAGAAACACAGCTCTATTATTAATCCCCGTTTTAACCTTCTCAATCTAATTTACTTATGTCAACCAATCATTTCATTTGTCCTCCGACTAGTGCTCACGCGTTTTGTTGTATTGTTATGTCGATTAGTACGCATAACTAACGATTTCAATCGATACTAATAACCTTTCTTACTTACTCACGCCTGTTACTCCCAATTGAGCATAGGCTACCGACCAGCATTCTCCAACCCACATCGTCCTGGGCCTTCCTTTCTAGTTCTTCTCATGTCTGTCTCCATTTCTCACCGTAATGTGTTCTTTCGTCTTCTTCTTCTCCTTTAACCTTGAGAATTCCGTGTGATGGCTTGCCTTGTGACACAGTTGGGAGCTTTCCTCAATATGTGTCCTATACACTTCCATAGCTTCTTCCTGATTTCCTCCACTGGAATCTGGTTTGTTCTCTCCCAGAGTAGGTTGCTGCTGACGGTGTCTGACCAACAGATCCGAAGTATTCTGCGTGGACAACTGTTAATACACACATGTATCTTCTGGATGATGGCTATCGTATTTCTCCAAGTTTCCACCTCATACAGTACAACTGTCTTAACATTTGTATTGAAACTTTTGACTTTGGTGTTGGTTGATAGTTGTTTTGAGTTCCAGAAGTTCTTTAGTTGTAAATATGCTGCTCTTGCTTCGCCGATCGGCACCATCAGATCCACCCTTGATCATCAGTGATGCTGCCTAGATATGTTAAGGTTTTTACACCTTCCAAATCTTTTCCGTTAATTATGATGTGATTGTTGCATGCTGTGTTGTATCGGAAAATCTCGCTTTTTTCTTTGTGTATGTTGAGACTGACGGCTGATGAAGCTGCTGCTGTCATCAACTAATTTCATGAGCGACCAATTTTTCACTATTTCTCCAGCCTCTATTAAAAACGTCTTCCAAGACTCGTTCGTCAATACTTGAGACAGTAGTGATCGTAGGATTATTCTTAGTCACTTTATGGTGAACGCTCATGACCAGCTCTAGGGAAAAAAAGCATTTGCTATCTTATTCCGGTTCGAACCACACAATTTGTCTGAGACTAGCGTCGGCTCTTTTGAAGCTGCCAAGTGCGTCCTTATTGCAAGCTCCTACGAACGTGCGTTTAGAGTCAACAATTTTCACTTCATTTACTTTTATGTATACACGTTTAGCACTTTCCTCAGTAGACAGTCAGGTGTTGATGTGAACATTTGTTTTACTGTCTCTTTGTTCTTCCTGCTGCCAAAGCTACATGGTATGATGCCTCCAGGCACATTCTTCCATGACACGTGACGTCGGCGCTCAAAAGTTTCTTGCTATTTGGTTCGCCTTCAGACAGACATTACACAACATCTTCAGTACAACTCCTAATCTGTAATTATAATCCTTGTCTTTAAAACTTTCACATTGGTCTAAGGGTTGGTTTTTAGTGCACGATAAAAATGGCGACTCAACAGTGCTTGACCTTACGTGTAGAGAGACATCAGACTGCTGAAGGACGATACTCTCACCCCATGCTCTGAGCTGAGTTTTTATCAGTAACAACAGATGACTGCCTTTGGTTGCGATTAGAAGGATTTCCATTAACAAGTAATCCGTACCTCGTATTAGCAATATGCGGTTGCTCTTTCACAAATTCACATAGATCCCCAACCAAAAGCTCCCTACCCGTCTTAAGAGTTTTATACGCCACCTTCACCCATTTTCTTTGTAAGTGTAATGGGATATTCAAAAACATACTCCACATAGTCCTTGTTGAATTAGCCGCTTACGACAACCTTCTTCTGCTTCAAGCAAAGCATAATGAACAATAGTCCTGGATTTACTGCCTCAATACTGAATCAGTTAGCTTGACCCAGGTTGGAATCCAACGCTTTCACCAAAACAGTCTTCGAAATTCTGTATCAAACTGCAATAGTTCATAGAATTACCATCAAACCTTATGATACCTGGCTTCGGTAAGTCTAAAGCTTTAGATATAATTGTTATTCAGTCATTAACAGGAGAAACATCGACTCCACGTGAGGCAGATGCAGGCTCGTACAACGTCACCTTTCGGCCACAACTTGGTTATAATGCTCTCTTCCCTTTCAGCGTAACCTTTTCAATTCAATGTCTCTTGCTGTCTGGGCTGAGCGTACTTTGGCTATTTCTAACTTTAACAAGGGATCTATTTGGTAGCCGTTTTCTTTAAATCGGTCATCTTTATCAGTGAGAAGACAAATAAGGAATCTGAGTTGTTTTCTGATTCTTCTCAGTAAGCATTTAACATTAATCATCATAGAAATTTATGGTGAGTTACTGGTCGAAACTTTGCCCTACAGATATTCTACTAGAACTGTAACCGCGATACCGGCGAACTCGTAGTTTATGTAAATTAAGCTGTAGTCAGAACAAAGATAACTGGGCTCCAAACTTAATCTATTTCTAAACGTAAAATCAACTAGTACACTAAATAGAGGAGGTACATTAATTCAGTGAAACGCACATACATATCGACTAGTATTTCGTGTCTTAACCAAATGAATAAAAATTATTTTTTACACTAACATAATAGTATAATAATGCTCATCCCTGTCACATGTGACAGGGATAGTCTACAGACACACCAAATCAGAATGACGTGATAAGAGCTTAAGCAACGACTTGATTGGTTAGTTACGAATATGACTAATAATCATGCTTAATCCCACTTTGTTTAATGGTTGAATAATCTTCACGCAGGTTTTCATTTTGCGCGTGTCAAAAACTAAAACCCAGAAAACTGTATTATAACATGTATTTCCCCATCAGTTGCTGCCGCCGTCATTTTCTGATTTATCTTTCAGCTTACCAATACCCGGATGACTCTTAGTATTCTTGGTAACCTCCGGCCAGCGACAATCTCATCCAATTCCGTATCGAACTAACGTCACGTTGATTCTGGTGTGAGAGTAGTGTAGTGGCGTTGAACCCTAACCACACGTCGTTCAATGCCGAGCTATAATTACTAGGAAAGACTATTTCAATCCAGTAGGATAGCATGGCTTAAGTACATCGTATGATCGAAGTTCTCGGTGAGCAAACGAGTTTTTTACTTTGTATTTGGGTTTAGTTCTTCGTGTAGGAGAGACTCCTTAGTAGAAACTATCCCGAAATAAATTGCTTTAGCCTATGATTTGTCCTGATCGTTGTCTATTATTTGAGAGCCTCACGCATAATGAAGCTGGGAGTTTTGCATGTTAGACCTTTCTGAGTACTTTCAGAATCCGCATTTTGTCCTATACTATAAAGCAAATAGGTGATAATTTCCGCTTCTGTTTCTGGAGATAGCTTGCTAAATAGGAACTTAATTTGTCTTAGGTCGTGTTTAATTCTAATCTTTAGTTCCTCTTCGAGAGATTCTCTTGAGGAAAAATGACTGACCCCTCAGTGAGATCCTCTCCGACCTGATGTGCAGTTTTGTTTCCTGGAATCTGCTCGTTCGTGAAGTCCGGTCTGTTGTCACACGCGAAGGTCTCACTATGCTTTTTCGCTTTTCTTAATCTGGGTATAACCGCAAATCAGTTATTGAATTTATTATGTCCATTGATCACATCATCTTCACCACTCAGACTTGTGCGTTGATATGTGATTCAGGAGCAGGAACCTTCGATATGTATAACTTAGGACTCCATATTATTTATTTCTTTTCAGCGTAATTTTTCTCTTATTTCTTAACTATAATTACGTTTTTGTGTTTGTTGTCCGTCACTTAGATGGTTTCGTTTAAATCCAAAGCATGACTCATGATAACGTTCACTGCTTCCTCGGAAACTGGAAGCTGCTCACATGCTGCTAGCTGTTTATCTTAATGCGACTTTTAAGCTGTGTTTAACGGCCCAGTCGACTCACGAATCGGTAGAGCGGCATGCTTTGCACAACCAACAAGATAGTGCCTTTCATCACTTTTTATATGCAGCCGGTGTGAGTCCGGTTAACACGTTGCGATACCAATTGTTGCAGTTGTCATATTGTGTTCCATCTTCCACGGGAAAAAAACATGCGTGTCCATGACAAGGATGTTCTGCTTGCACCATAAACATTTTAAGTGATCTCATAATGATGGATGTGTCGCTCAATTTCGTTAGACATTAACACCGTTGGATGCCGGCTCAATGGTCTAGTTGACTAAGAGCCTGGCGTGAGACTGAAAGGTCCCGGGTGGGAATCCCGCGAGGTGGGGTCGTGGATGCGCCCCGCTGAGGAGTCATGCAATAGGACGAAACGGCCATCCAGTGCTTCCAGGTTTTCCGTGGAGGTTAAGCTTCAATTGGCTCAGGATCTCCACTGTTGAAATTACTACATTCTCCACAAAACCCCTTCTGATAGTAAAAGGTTCAACCAACGACCAAAAATTACACCTCATTTTCGTTTCGTGTGCCATCATATTAGGTATAAGATTTGATGTATTCACACAGCAGAACTTATCTACAAACGATGTTATAGTATTTTCAATTTAGATTTACGTGTGTGAGTGTTTTTCCGCTTAACTTACAGTTAAATATTACCGCGGCTCAATTTTCTAAATTCGGTTATAGCCATGGGTCCTGAGTTGCATTGTTCCCGCTTTCAGGTACATTTTGTACTTTGTATTTACCCTTATTTCAGTGCCATCAATTGCTCAAACGTTTGGTCCACGTTGGGAGGCGAAAGCTTGAAAATTTTGAACGACATAGCCCAGGCAAGTTACTTAACCGCCACTTATTGTGTAAGGCTTTAAGTACTTGGAAAGCTATGCGTTCCTCACAAAATTCCCATAAATGTTGGTCTGCCATAGAGCCTACGTGTTCAATCGGCTTTGATTGGAATGAAGATAGTGAATTCATCAGCGTATGTAATTTAACTGTGTCGAACACTAGTTATTGCGATCTCTTGTCAAATACAACCGTAGGCAGTGTTGATGAGGATGTTATATCTAGTGATCATCATTATGCATCACCCATTTTAGTTCTAGATCCTAATCAGTAGTTATTCAGAGATTGAGTTTCTTAATGTTATTTCACTGTTAATCCCTTTCTTTCCTTCAACTCGACTACTCATCAGGCGACATTTAAATGAAAGAAAAAAGTTCGAAATTAATCTTGGTACCACTGTCTTTCCACTTGGGTTTGGTGTCTCGCTCGCTCCATGCCTCAAGATTGATTCCCACCCTCAACTGCTTTGTATGAAGCGACTATTTGTACATAAATTTCCAATAATAACATGTTGAATTCCATTTCTCGTGTCTTCTATTGTCAGTTCTAGCAAATGGTAAAAGTGTTTCGGATATCTTTAAGTAACAAAATGATTCGTTGGCCATTCTTAGACGGAATTTCTAGATGCTATAATCTCGAATTAGTGGCACGTCGAAATTGTGACCAAGTTCTCCTTGGCTTTACTGTCTTCTGTGACAAGCTAGTAAGTTGTAATTGTGCTCACGGTCTGTTCGGTAACGATCCAGTTTTACGGCGTTACGTTTTTTTAGCAGAAAATTCCAATTAGAAATTCAAAGTGATTCACAGTTCTTCCAACGCAATCTATTTCGGTGGGCAGTCCAAAGTGAGGAAGAGGCGTCGTGTATGGTTTGTTGTCGCTGAAGAACTTGGCGGACTACGACATCTTCGATAAAAGTAAAAAGTCCTTCCGACTAATAAGACGTGACGGAAGTAATATGGTTTTAGGGATAGCCAATATCTGTTATTATTCCTTCCCGCAAACGAGGTTGGCTAATAAATATTACACCCCCCTAAACTACAAGTATTCCGGGTTCCTCTGGTATGGTTTCAATATTACAAAGCTGTTACTAAATGGTTCAAATGGTTGTGGACGGAATAGAAGAAGCTTTCGCTTAACAGGCTTCCGTGTCTAGTAGCAGGGGATCACCAAATCCTCCAGGCAGGAACCTAGGTATGTTAACAATAAAAGAGGAAAAGAAATTGGTAAATCATAGTGCGATGCTGTCCTTGGTCCTTAAGAATAGGTCAAGTTGCCTCTTGAAGGACTCCTGAGAAGTCGCTTGGACTAGCTCGGCCGGCAGCGAGTTCCAGCTTTTGACAACTCTTAAGGAGTAGAAGTTGTGTCTACATTCCGTCTTGCTATGTTGTGTTTCCAGTTTCTGGGTGTTACCCCTTAGGTTATTGTTCGAACTAAGCTTAAGTAGGTGTTTAAGAGGATGTCCAGAAGTGTTAAGAATACTATAAGCCATTAATAAATCACCTCTAAGACGCCTATATTCTAGTGGGTAAAGGTCTAGTGAACGGAGGCGTTCTTCGTAAGGCTTAGATTTGAGTCCTCGAACTGATTTCGTGGCTCGCCGTTGGATACGCTCCAAAGTGACCTTATCCTTTTGGAGTGAGGGGGGAGTACTATGTTTCCGTACTCTAAATGGGGACGGATGAAACTATCGAAGATTGTGTGGAAAGTTCTTCCGTCAAACTGACCAAAAATGCGCCTCAACGTTACCAGTGCAAGGTTTGCTCGGAAGGCATTTTTGTCCCAGTTAGCGTAAGACTTTAAGTCATGGGGCACCAGGACTCCTAAATCTTTTTCGACTTGGGATACTACTAGAGAGGAGTTTCCTAAGTTGTAACTGTAGTTTGCGACATGTCGCAGATGGACTACTTTACACTTAGAAGTGTTAAAGGTAAGTCCGTTATCGTCTGCCCAACTTTGAAGTCGAGTCAGATCCTCTTGAAGTGCCTGTATATCGTCTTGGTTGCGTATCTCTCTCCAAAGTTTCACGTCGTCGGCAAAAAGTAATAAGTCTGACGTTACCTGTTGATGAAGATCATTTATGTAGATCAAGAAGAGAAGAGGCCCTAGTACTGAGCCCTGGGGGACCCCACTAGGACATTCCATAGCTTGAGATAAAGTGAAATTAACCCTAACCTTAAAGTGTCGATTTTTTAGGTATGAAGTAAGCCAGTAAATTAGAGGTGGTTTGATACCTAGTCGTTTGAGCTTGTTGATAAGACACAAGTGGTTAACCTTATCAAAAGCTTTTGAGAAATCAAGGTAAATGACATCAACCTTTCCCTTGCGATCGAGGATGCTTGTCCATCTGTCCACCGCAGTCAGCAGGTTGGTTATACAAGAGTAACCCTTCCTGAAACCATGCTGTTGGGGTGAGAAGAAATTTAAGGACAGTAGGTAGTCATTTAAACCGTCGCATATCAGGGACTCCATGAGTTTTGAAGGTAACGACAGAAGAGCTACCGGCCCGTAACTTGAAGGTTCATTGCGTCGACCACCTTTGAAAATTGGTGTGATGTGAGCCAACTTCCAATTTTCCGGTAATTTGCCTCGGCTAAGCGAGTGTGAAAACATCACGCTAAGCGGCGTTGCCAGGATTGAGGCTGCCTCCCTCAGTATGGCAGGATGAACCATATCCGGGCCAGGAGAAGTGTCAAGTCTTAAGTGCTGCAGTTTCCGGAACACCAAGTCAGCGCTTAGGTCCACTTCAGAAAGTCCTGTGGAATTGCAGATGAAACTGTCGTCAATAAAGTTGATATCAGCCGGTTGAAATGTTTGAGAGTAATGGGCCGCCAGAAGGTTAGCGGCGTCGCCATCGTTGTTGGTCGGGCCGTTAGGACCTAGCAGTTGAGAAACTCCTGTTTTGGCTTGACGAAGAGAGGCTGCATAACGGAATAGGCTTCTAGGGTTAGAGGCGAATTTGTCCATAAGCTTTGTTTGGTACTGAAGCCTGTCTTCTCTTATAGCCTTCGTGCATGTGTTCCTGATATGTTTGTATTGCCTATACGCTCCATCGTTATTAGTTCGTTTGTATTCCGCCCAACAGTGCCGTTTGCGGCTTAGCAGGCGAAGGGTACGGTTCTTGATTACTGTAGGTGGCTTGAAGCTTTTGGGAACCGTTTGAGGAACTGAATGGTCTGTAGCACATAAGAGCGTGTGCAGCAAGAAGTCCCAATGACCATCCACATCGATTTGAGGGTGAACATCCCAAACCACCTGTTGTAGATGGTCATGTAGAGCTCGCACATTCAGCCGTTTAAAATTCCATCGCAAATTATTGTTGGGATACCTTAGCTTAGTTTTGATGACAAAACTGAAGGCTATGACGGCATGATCGCTTTTTCCCAGGGGAGCAAGGATTGAGAGGTTGTCGACTAGGAATTCTTCGTTAGTGAATACACAGTCTAAGCGCGATGGTGTCTGACTGTTTCTCCAACGAGTTGCCGACCTCACATTTTCATATAAGCCCAAGTTATCGATGAGGTTGAAGAACCGAGCTTCAGTTGAGTTGTCGCCTCCAGTGTACGTGTGTTCCGCGAAGTTGACTCTAGGGAGAATAAAGTCCCCTAGAATCAGGATGTGTGTGAAACCGAGACGGATAGAGCGGGATAGTCCTTCCAGCATACGACTATCGTACTCGGTGTCGGCAGTTGGCTTCCTGTAAATGACTCCGACTAGACACCTGGAAGTACTAGACAACCTTACAGAGCACCATATGGATTCCTCAAGATTGTTAAACTCGAGGTTGTGAACCTGGTGCACCTCCAAGCAAGAGCTTATGTATATGGCTACTCCGCCCCCAATTCCTATTTTTCTGTCGTTGCGGAACAAAGTCATCCCAGGCAATGCTAACTCTTGATCCGAGAACTGAGAAGATATCCAGGTTTCAGATATTCCTATCAGATGGGCCTTGTTAGCGTTGCTAAGTTCACGTAGTTCATCCAGTTTGTTTGGTAAACTCGCGGCGTTCATATATAAGCAGTTTATGCTTTCAATTTGGAACGCATGAGCTTCGTCCTGTTTTTCTGTATGAACCTTATGTGAATGGACAGGTAGCCCACCTATATGAGGTTTGCCGAGGTGGTAGGCCCTGTCCTTTACACGTTTTTTTTATCGTTTAGACAGTCCACAAGTGGAATGGTCAGCTCCAACTTGCCTTTGTTCTTGGTCCTGACTTCGTATGGCCTATCCGGGTGCATGTGGATTCCAGGTGGCAATCGACGTCTATTAGCACGAAATGCTTCCAGAACTGCAGCCGCCATGTGGGAAGATGGGAAGGTTATCTTCATTAGACGGGGTCTAAGATCACCGTCCTTCTTGGCTAGTCTCGTCACATGCTGAGTCAGTATGTGTTTGAGCCTCAAGGACTGTTTGATGAATTTCCATTCCCTGATGTCAGAATTTGATTGAGTAGGGTCTGCATTTTCCGGTATACCTTGGACAATTATGTTTCTTCCGCGGAAGAACTTCTCGCGAGATTCTTTAGGGACGTTTCGTATGATATTGCGCTCAGAGTACGGTATGTCGGGCAATATTCTTACGTTACTATCTGATTTCAGTAAGTGACTTGCTAGCAAGACGTCCTCTACGTCGGTAGCATTCTTAAGTGTTACTCGGAGAAGCCTCGGGTGATTTAGATGCTTAGAATCCTTTCCTCGAGTGAGCCGGGTGACCGTCAAAGGCTCTATTCTAGGAAGTTCGAGCTTCTTGTTCAATTCACCCCACAGCATCCTGTCGTTTTTATCCTGCAGACTGAGAGGAAGGTCAGGATTGTCGACGAGGTTCATGATAATGAGAGAATCGTCACGAACTGTTGTTAATTTGCCAGGTTTCACGATGGGTTCAGGTTTAATAACTTGTTTTTTGGAGGTCAGTGTGCGTTTATGAATCTTGGGCTCTTTATTGACCGGACGAACAGTCTTGGGGGTAGACTGTGCGACTAAATCACCAGTTATTTTCCGTGCAGCAACACTTGGGTTGCTCGGCTTAGGCGGTGATGCCTGGTTCTTTTGGGCTCTCTTAACGTGGGTCGAATCGCCTGCAGGGTTTTTGGGAACCACTGTTGTGTTCAGCGACCCTGAGCTTCATGTTTAATGAAGCATAATATTTTCCGATGCTATGCTGTACCTGACTTTCGATTGGAATATATGCGAGTAAACCAATTTATGTGCATATATCTGACGGTGCTGCAGTTATTTGTAGGGTTATCCGACCGCAGATAGTCGTAAGGACATCGGAAACACTATAATCGTCAGTGGTCTCGGCTTTGGTTATGTTGAAATTCACAGATGTGAAGGGGATTTCAACAGCAATCATGTTTCGGATTAATTAATGCAGCTCTTGTCTCCTAACACCAAGCCAGTGTTGTTAAGATTGACAAGTTCCCCCACCGTTCGGTGAATTCTTCTAGCTGTCAACTTTGTGGAAACGGACGTTAATTATTTGAAGATAATTGTGCTTCAGGTCTAGAAGGTCGATTTCGAAGTGCTTTGTGGAATGCAGCCGTTGAAAGTTAACAAAGGGTTGGAAACGGCTTGTTTCATTTGCTCGACGTTCTTGGACGTCTTTGAACGTTACACATGTTCAATTTACTCACTGAGGAACTCTCAATACTATACAATGTCTAAATGGGATAGGAAGGTCACAATTAGTAATCAGTGTCATTAATTTGATGGGCTAGGCTCTACTTAGTTTATTATTGAAGCGTAAGAAACAATATACAGTATATTACTATTTTTAAAAAATTGCACGGAGTATTGAACTTGACTAGTAAATCACTTCGTAATATAGACCTTTGCATTGTGAATTTAATTAGGACTGAAGACCTTAATGTTTTGACCACTGAATCGAAGATTTTTTAAATGTACAGTTCGTATATGAGGTTAAATCTACACAAATTTCAACTTTATGGCAGTTACATGACACATATAAGTCCTCATAAAATCGGTGATTCTTTTAGTAAATGACTGCTAACCGCGATTTGTTTGTCAGACTGATATCAAGGGATCGTTTGTGCTGGTCCAATGAAGCGATTACATCTAAATAAGTGGAAGGTTAGTACTGAAGCGAACCACTTATTACTGGAGTGATGGATTTTGATTTGGAAATAATCTTATTTGCGCCGTGTCAGAATACTAGCCACGGATTCTGTATGTGCAATTAATAAACAGTTAAAATCAAAACAGTTGCAGTCGGACCCGCAGAACATTGTGTTTTCATCGGACTCCTACTTCTACAAGTAACAATTATCTTGTCTAAGACCGGTCTGTTTATGAATATTTATATTGCTTGTATCAGCATATCCATCCACCAAACTCTTCCCTTTATTATTTGTATTGTGTCGCACAACTACTCACGCTGGTGGTAATCTTATAGACCGTCGTTCACATGTTGTAAAACATAATTTTCGTTAGTAATATTATGTTTATGGCGAATTCTTTGTGTTTACTGGTTCATTATTTCATAACGTACTTATTAAGTTCATACATCTAAAAGGTAAAAACAGTCCGATTCCTGCAAAAACTTTGCATTTAGGAAGAAGTTAACAGATCTGACCACTCGACTGCACTTTGAATAATGTGTTCCTTTGTTCTCATCTCTATAATCTATGAGTTATTCTCATGTATCAAATGACATCGTTACTTTGAACTACGGACATCGTCTTTCAGACGCTTGCTGGCAGTCTAACAAATACTAATTCAAAATCGTTTTTCCGGAACAAAGCAAACAAATATCGTTACATTTCTTATCAAGTAAATCCCTTCTATTAGTTATCCGTTAGTGCCTTTATTTAATTGCTTCCTCTGTTGGATTTGGGTTGATAAACAGCTATTCGTATCGAAATTTTACGGTCCAGTTTAATAAGCTAGGGATGGAACTATCAAAAAGGCTTGTATCTATAAAGACAAGCATCGAAAGGCGGAATGAAATTTGTAAGGTTTTAAAATCTTTTTAATTTATTGTGTCCCTTATCCTCTACAATCAATCAGAAACATAGTTATTCAGACGTCTGTCGAAGAGTCTGTTTTCAATAAATACTGTGTTTCGAATTTAATAATTCTTCATTCGTATTACCCCAGTCATGTCATCTCTTACATCTATTTCGAACAGAGATTGAGGTGCTGCGAGTGAATTTATCCAGTTTCTGACTATAGACGAAATGTCACAATGCTGTTTTGGTTCGAAGTCCATTGACATCTATCAAGCCACGTATTTTAAAAGCTGAATAATCTGTATCTACAACCTCGTCACCTCTGTAAAACTTCTAGTTTATTACTAACCCTCTTACTTGTTTTGATACTGTCTTGTAGGTCAGAAGTTACGTATCGCGACCTCACAACACAAGTAAAAAGGCTTGGGTGCATTGAGATTCTAATTCTTTCGTATAACTTTACTGACCCCTTCATCTCGGTTTGGATGTTCAGTTTTCAAAGTTGCATGAACGCTTCAAAAGTTTATCGGTTAGTTTATTGTGATGAATTTAGGGGGAAATTATGTACACTTCCTTCCTTATCAGTCAGTCAGCTACAACGTAGGACCAGGCACATATATGCATCGGTCCAATTTGCCATACCTCATTAGCACAACACGATGAACATCAAATTCATAGAAGTAGTTACTTCAGTGGTAGTAATATATGGAAGAAAGGTTGCATATAATAATATAATACGAAAAGAAAGAATTAGTTCGTAGAAAGATATAATTTTAATTTCACGGTTTAAGGGAAGACAGAGATTACATACACCTATGCCATTGTCACTCAAAGTCTCCAACTATTGGTTACGATAGTCGCGCGGAACCCAACCAAGTAGTCTGCATCTATCAACATGGCTCACACCAAGAGTTGGTGACTTTATGGACTGGTGCCACATTTTGGTTTGGCTGCCCCTAACTTGTTTTCATCTGTCTCCAACACTGGCCAACATTGTGTGTCGTGGTAATACATGAGATGTGGCCCAACCATCTCAGTCGATGAAGATTCACAACCTCATCAGCTGATTAACCATAATACCCTGTGTCTAACCTAATTTTTACTTACCCGGTGATCCCAGCAGATGCGAGCAGTATTTCCAAAACATTTGTGATCAAGTACTAGTAACTTACGAGCATCCTCCACCATTAATGACCACAGTCCCCAACCGTAAAGTAAAACAGACCGGACTGCGGCGCATTATGCTCGTCCTTTTATTGACAGACAGATATCTCGCTTTCTCATGTAAGTTGGCAAAAGCCAAACGAGCCTTCTGAATCCGTGGAGAGATTTTGTCAGATACCAACCCATTAGGGCTGATCAGACTTTCAAGGTTAGTTGTCGGCGCATTCGACTGCTTCACTCCCTATTCTTAGTTCATGTGTTGACGCAGGCCGGTCATTAAGCAACAACTTGCTTACTGCTACCAAAAGACTGCATTTATCAGTGTCTTCAACAAATGGGACTATGTCATCTGCGTATTCTAAGTCGATAAGTGGACATCCTAGAAGACCGATTCCTAAAAATCCAGTCGATGAGAACGTGATTTCCAGCTGTAGATCTATGATGAAATTAAACAGAAAGGGAGATAGTGGACAGTCTTGTTGGACACCACGTGGGGTCGCAAAATCAGATGACAGTTCTCGATAAGCTCTGACTCAACGGGTAGTGTTGAAGTAAAGAGCCTTCACAAGGTCTATGTATTTCTGAGGCACACTTTCAATGACAGACACTGCCACAGAACCTCTCGGCCTATAGAGTCAAACTCTGCTTTTAAGTCAGGAAAGACCACCACTGTCGGATGCCGATAACCATCCCTATATCTGTGAAAGGATATGAACTGTTTATTGAATAAACTTAACACTCCGAAATCACATCAGTCTCATGCAAATAAGAGAAGAACGGCCAGCTTCCCTTCCTAGACATACTTCTAACTTCCTTTACGTATTCAAAAGTGGCTTGTTCTCACCTCAAACCTACCCTGGTAGTATTAGCTTATTATCCAGAGTGCTGAGGTTTCAAATTGTCTTCACATCATTTCCTTATTATCCTTGTCTTCTCTTACCCCCTATTTCTTGTCTAGCTGACTTTATATATATATATATTAATATTCTTAACAAGTATATGTGTGATCTGATTGTTTGAAGTGTCGCGCTAATATATCACATAGCTCTAATAATCTTTGTCTTCTTATTACACTTTCGAAATTTATTAAACGAACTTTCTTAAAAGACTCCCTGCACATACTACTAATACTCTTTTTACCACTTGTCAATGTTTTTGTGACTACCGTTGCAGTAGTATTAGGAATTCGAATTTGTTAATACAAGCTGAACGCTTTCATGACATTCGAAAATGTCAATAAGAACACCGAGTTGGAGTAACTGATATCTGTTTCTAATTTAAGCAGTCGTTAATAGTGTCTTTACAGATTGTGTACTCCAAACAGGCTCCTGCAGTGAGTTGACATAATACAGGTATTGATATAATTTCAAATCATCGCTTAGGACATCATAGCTTTGTGTGGTAAGTCAACATGGAGTTTCTGCCGAATGTTAAAACCGCAATAAGTGAAAAAATTGTCGGCTTGCTTCAAGCTAACCACATCAGTCCTTGAGGATGGTGCCTAAGTAATATTAAGTATGAAGAGCCATACTGTAAAAGCATGGAAGTGGGTTTCGGTGATAAGCATTAATTTTAAACTTATTATTAGGGAGGAGCTGCATCAAAAGTACCATAGAACTAAGAGTCAACAAATAGTTTTCTGAAGTCGCTTGAATAACATGCAAATAACTACCAAATTTATTCTTATAAGTTCTTACCCTACCAGCATTGTTAAGTGTGTAGCTTTTGCCATACTGTACCTAATAGACTCATAAATAAAATACAGCAGGAAAGTCCAGATTACTGTTAAACAACTGAGTATGAAAATTAGGGTCGCAAAGTGTTTAGTGTTTGTAAGACAGATAAAAACAAGAATAAACACAAACACTTTGACAATATATAAAAAACCAGGTAAGAGGCTATCAGTATGAAATGAACATCAAGAGATTATGATATTATTCGACTTTTAATATTTTGGTTCAATTCCTGCCTACACGATAAAACAATAATTATATTCTCTAATGGGTGGTCATGAGCCTCTTGCCACTATTTCTGTAAAAATATACTACTAAAACATAAGGAGTGTTGTATTTTAATAAGAGTCAATACGTTGCTACACTTTAACCCTATATTGAAAAAAAGCAAATATTTATCTCAAAATAAAGTAGAAATGCATTTAGTTTTCAACACTTTTCAATGTATTGTTCTCTTGATTCAGAATAGACCTCAGTGCTTCAATGGAATACTCGGGACCTTCGGATTGTAGTCCTGTGACAGGATCAATCAGATTACCAACTGGGAACTCGACTTTCTTTAGTTTGTACATGGTATTGAATGCCATTGGTGGATCAGCCTTTTCAATAAGCACGATATCTCCAATGTTGACCGAAGAGCCTTGTGTATGAACCCAGTATGTTGCTGTTTGATAAAAATACTGTAGGTCGCATTTATAAATCGATAACATGACGATAGCAAATTACCTTCATCAGGAAACGATTCAAGCAGAGCTTGTGCAAGCGGACCTTAACAATATTTGGGAATGATGATGTTAAGCTTTGTGAAAACGGCACTATCTGCCCAATCGCATAATCGAAAGGTACTTTTGCTTTTTTCCCCGTTATACTAGCATGCTGAGGGGAAGTACCTCCAAGCTCAGGCTTGTGATAAGGAAAATATTTCTGGATATGCGGTTCTATGTTTTTGAGTATTTTCGCACCACGATGCTTCCAATATCGGACCATACTTGATCTGTACCGCATAGAAATAAAAAACAATTATATCAGCATTTTGTAACTGATCATCCACTGAAAAGAGTACAAGCTATCTAGACTATAAAAGAAACTTGTGCTCAGGTAAATGATACTATGCGCTCAGATGAAAATAATCCTCAAGGACCCATTAGCATTTTGAATTTCCATCAAAAACATTTCATGTCAATATTAGTATCTGATGCGGTTAACCGCTTCAGATACAGTTACAGTTTGGGAAGGACAGGAGGCTCGGTGGCCTATGTTAGTCCTGGCACTGATGGTCTCTCAGTTGATCTAACTTTCTTTTGAAAGAGTCGACGGATGGAGCCTCAACCACGTGCTGAGGTAGTGAATTCCACTCGTTGATGATTCGATGGGAAAGTCGATAGTCAGCTGACAAGTAATTTGTTCTTGGCTTATGAACTTTTTTGGAGTGTCCTCGTAAATTCTCTGTTTCGGAAGACAAGAAAAATGAATTCATATGAAGGAAACTAGACGTGCTTGCAAGTGCGTCCCAAGTCTGTGGAAATCTGGGGCGTTTGTGCCATTTCCCCAAAGTTTATTATGGCGGCTTCCCCAAAATGGGTCAAATTTTCCCCAAAATTGGGAGCTCGGGTGGACACCCTTTCATTTACACCAGGAAATTCATGGTAAGTTAGATAGGCAGTTTTGTTTTCAACAAAAAGTTAATTGACTGCATCCCTACTGGTAGGACTACATGTACTGCAAGACTACGACATTCAATTAGTGCACAGATAGCAAACAAACAACACCACCAGTCAGTTACCTCCGGACTCAAAAGACGGTATTTTTATCAAGGTGACTGTGTTTAGAGTGCCAGTGGTAGATTAAAAAAATAGTTGAAAAATTGAGTGAATATACAGAACACAAGCAAGTAAATTATCATTTAAACGGCCAATTAATTGATAGTTGGAACTACAGTGAGCCATTTAGTACAACTTTAAATAAATGACAACGGGTCGTTGTTAACAAATTTTCAGTCACTGCGTGTGCTATATAGCATTTGTTACAGCTTCCAGAATAAACAATTAGATTTTGATTATTCTCTGGAATATGGCAAATTCGCCTCCGACACCAATGTTTAAAAGGTCGTGGGGCGAAACAATAGTTTCAAATGGTTCAAATGGTTGTGGACGGAATAGAAGAAGCTTTCGCTTAACAGGCTTCCGTGTCTAGTAGCAGGGGATCACCAAATCCTCCAGGCAGGAACCTAGGTATGTTAACAATAAAAGAGGAAAAGAAATTGGTAAATCATAGTGCGATGCTGTCCTTGGTCCTTAAGAATAGGTCAAGTTGCCTCTTGAAGGACTCCTGAGAAGTCGCTTGGACTAGCTCGGCCGGCAGCGAGTTCCAGCTTTTGACAACTCTTAAGGAGTAGAAGTTGTGTCTACATTCCGTCTTGCTATGTTGTGTTTCCAGTTTCTGGGTGTTACCCCTTAGGTTATTGTTCGAACTAAGCTTAAGTAGGTGTTTAAGAGGATGTCCAGAAGTGTTAAGAATACTATAAGCCATTAATAAATCACCTCTAAGACGCCTATATTCTAGTGGGTAAAGGTCTAGTGAACGGAGGCGTTCTTCGTAAGGCTTAGATTTGAGTCCTCGAACTGATTTCGTGGCTCGCCGTTGGATACGCTCCAAAGTGACCTTATCCTTTTGGAGTGAGGGGGGCAGTACTATGTTTCCGTACTCTAAATGGGGACGGATGAAACTATCGAAGATTGTGTGGAAAGTTCTTCCGTCAAACTGACCAAAAATGCGCCTCAACGTTACCAGTGCAAGGTTTGCTCGGAAGGCATTTTTGTCCCAGTTAGCGTAAGACTTTAAGTCATGGGGCACCAGGACTCCTAAATCTTTTTCGACTTGGGATACTACTAGAGAGGAGTTTCCTAAGTTGTAACTGTAGTTTGCGACATGTCGCAGATGGACTACTTTACACTTAGAAGTGTTAAAGGTAAGTCCGTTATCGTCTGCCCAACTTTGAAGTCGAGTCAGATCCTCTTGAAGTGCCTGTATATCGTCTTGGTTGCGTATCTCTCTCCAAAGTTTCACGTCGTCGGCAAAAAGTAATAAGTCTGACGTTACCTGTTGATGAAGATCATTTATGTAGATCAAGAAGAGAAGAGGCCCTAGTACTGAGCCCTGGGGGACCCCACTAGGACATTCCATAGCTTGAGATAAAGTGAAATTAACCCTAACCTTAAAGTGTCGATTTTTTAGGTATGAAGTAAGCCAGTAAATTAGAGGTGGTTTGATACCTAGTCGTTTGAGCTTGTTGATAAGACACAAGTGGTTAACCTTATCAAAAGCTTTTGAGAAATCAAGGTAAATGACACCAACCTTTCCCTTGCGATCGAGGATGCTTGTCCATCTGTCCACCGCAGTCAGCAGGTTGGTTATACAAGAGTAACCCTTCCTGAAACCATGCTGTTGGGGTGAGAAGAAATTTAAGGACAGTAGGTAGTCATTTAAACCGTCGCATATCAGAGACTCCATGAGTTTTGAAGGTAACGACAGAAGAGCTACCGGCCCGTAACTTGAAGGTTCATTGCGTCGACCACCTTTGAAAATTGGTGTGATGTGAGCCAACTTCCAATTTTCCGGTAATTTGCCTCGGCTAAGCGAGTGTGAAAACATCACGCTAAGCGGCGTTGCCAGGATTGAGGCTGCCTCCCTCAGTATGGCAGGATGAACCATATCCGGGCCAGGAGAAGTATCTAGTCTTAGGTGCTGCAATTTCTGGAACACCAAGTCAGCGCTTAGGTCCACTTCGGAAAGTCCTGTGGAATTGCAGGGGAAACTTCCGTCAGTAAAGTTGATGTCGACCGGTTGAAAAGTCTGAGAGTAATGTGCGCCAGAAGGTTAGCGGCGTCGACATCGTTGTTGGTCGGGTCGTTAAGACCTAGCAGTTGAGAAACTCTTGTTTTGGCTTGACGAAGAGAGGCTGCATAACGGAATAGGCTTCTAGGGTTAGAAGCGAATTTGTCCATAAGCTTTGTTTTGTACCGAAGCCTGTCTTCTCTTATAGCCTTCGTGCATATGTTCCTTATATGTTTATATTGCCTATACGCTCCGTCGTTATCAGTTCGTTTGTATTCCGCCCAACAGTGCCTTTTGCGGCTTAGCAGGCGAAGGATACGGTCCTTGATTACTGTAGGTGGCTTACAGCATTTGGGAACCGTTTGAGGAACTGAATTGTTTGTAGCACATAAGAGCGTGCAGTAAGAACTCCCAATGACCGTCCACATCTAGTTGAGGGTGAACTTCCCAAACCACCTGTTGTAGATAGTCATGTAGAGCTGGCACATTCAGCCGTTTAAAGTTCCAACGCAAATTATTGTTGGGATAGCTTAGCTTAGTTTTGCTGACAAAATTTATGGACGAACCAATCAGATATAAGATAACGAGTACTAAATTTTGGTGCGAAATTCATTCATACATTTGGCTAAATAGCGTTCTGGCATTATGGCTGATGTCAGTTCGTGATGAAAACCCTAAACCCAATTTTTAGCCCAATCATCAACTGTAAATCATAATTTTAACTGGGTTGTAACCCTCATTTATTATTAATCAGTGGTTGCTCATTCTCACGATCACCTCAGCATCTCTAAAATTCAACCATAAATTGTAGTCTCACCACACGTGTTGTCGTCGCCTATTTGGGACCCGGAGAGATCGAAAACAACAGAATACAGATCAGGATCAGTGAATACATGAAGAGGGAGAACACTGTGCCAGAAACAACGTATATATTTCAGCTCTATTTAAAAAGGAGAATGGTATTGTTTCTCGTTGAGTTAGTTAACCGTTTTGACCGTAAATTACGCATCAAAACTACTGTTTACACCTTAATTGCATCTACTCCAGTTAAAGTGATATTGTATTGAAGGTTTCGATTTTGCTTTTGTGTATCTATTTCATCGAAGCATACCTGGTCGACTTTTACTTGATTTATTTAGTTAAGGTTTGAGAATCCTTTTACATATCCTGTTTTTGTCACCGTTCTAGTTGGTTTTCAAGATGGCTAGATCTGCTCATAAATGTGGCCAACCATACTGCTTATTTTCCGTGGAGGAAGGGATGCAATGTGATGAGTGTAATAAGTGGTTCCATAAGATGCACACCCGATTAAGCTTCACTGCATATAAAAGTGCTCAAAGCCCAACTCTCATTGGCTTCGTAGTTTTTGTTGCTCGAGCAAAACACTACTCATCCGGGAAGCAGTTAGCCTCCTGATGTCGGCTAATAAGAAGGTTGATGAGGGCCTTACTGGTAAAATTGGTACTGATGGCGAAGATTGTGTTAGTGTCGTAAGTACTGTCACAGCGCAAGCCAGACATCTACTTGTTCAACCCGCAGTTAAACGTTCTCCCCCGAAACGATTAGTGAGTGACAACTCACTAGACGTTGGTGGCCATATTGCTACAGCTGCGACTAGTGATCCAGATAAGGCGATTACTGTCCCGAGTTGTTCTAATGTAGACGTTTCGATTGATAGAAAATGGCTGACGCGAAAACGCAGAAGAGTAGGAAAGACAGCTAAAACTTATGACCGTTTACTTGCTAAGTCCTTGGTGGACTCTCAGACCAATCCGCCAAAGTCCCATAGTAAAGCTTCGTCTAACATTGTTGTGAGTCACTCGCTCGACTCCCAGGACCCTGTTGCAATAAAAACTAATCTTAAGATACCAGTAGTTGAAATACAGGATCTAACGTCACGGTCGAAAGCTGTGAACACAGTTTCAAAAGAAACTAAACCCCTCCCTAGTTTAATTATTTGGAATCTAGAGGAGTCGAAAGAGAACGACCCTGCTAGAAGACATGCACATGACCTGCAGTTAGTGGAGTCTGTGGTAGGGAATGTACTACATGAAGAGGTTTTAGGGGTACATAATACAAAAGTAATACGATTTGGTAAATGGGTTGGAGACGAGACCCAACCAAGAAGAATCCCGAAGCTGGTTCTCGGAAGTTTTGAAGAAAGAGACATATTATTGGAAAACGCACTAAAAACTCGTGACTCAAATTTCCGTATTCGACCAGACTGGCCGCTTGAGGATCGAATCAAGTGGAAGAATGCGCTTACGGAGTTGAGGACTCGCAAATTAAATGGCGAAAATAACCTTATGATTAAGGGTTTTCGGGTAGTCAGGTCTTGGAAGCCAATGCTTCTGAGGCCTGTATGAGTAGAACGATTGATTGCCAAAACACCTTAAGTGTGTGCTACACGAACGCTCGTAGTCTTAGAAATAAAACATCCGAGTTAAGTCTGATGGTGGAAGAATTATATCCCGATATAATCGTTGTTACAGAAACTTGGTTCACCGTGGATACAGACTGTTCTCCCATCATTGCAGGCTATATCTATATTAGAAGTGATAGAGTTTCAAGTTGCAAAGGGGGAGGTATAATGTTACACGTTGAGGATCACTTTCGCATACAATCAACCATATCGGAGGCTCATATCAGTGGCACATGTGAGGTTGCATGTTGTAAGAATAAATCTAGAAATGGGTTAGTGACTGTAGGGGGAATATACCGTAGTCCGTTTTGTCTTGCTGGCGACTTTATCCTAAGACACATCTGTTCTTGGAGTATGGCAGAATGTTGTCTCACCATTGGGGACTTCAACGCACCGCATGTCAACTGGATAGAGCTTATAGCTCCAGGTAATGGTTTCGATAGCGACCTTTTATCTACCGTTATTCAGTGTACAATCTACAATGTATCACGAAACCGACACATATTGATTTCAATCATGATCCGTCACTTCTGTACCTCTCCCTCACCCACCACTGTGAGGATGTTTTTGATATTCAGCACCTCCCCCCACTAGTGAACAGTGATCACGTTGTAATTCACTTTAAGTTTAGGACACATGGTACACAATTCGTATCTGCTCCACCCCACCCCAGTATTTGGCGAGCCAATATTCCGGCAATCAGAAACTGTGCTATATCGACTGAATGATCGGTCAACGCGGATGGATTGAT